GGAATCAAGAGGACTTTCATTTGGTTGTAATGTCGGCTTAAGGTAGAAATGAAATATTTGGAAATCATTTTAGTGACTACACCTCCCTAATGCACATGTTATTATTTTGCCAACAATCTCCTTCATTGCTTTTCCTTCCTCCTAGTATACACTTCTTGACTACATACCCCCTTTGTTGCTCCATATTTGCCCTTTATTTCTTTCTCATCATATAATTTTTTTTATCTTATTTATTTTTGCCTTTATACTAGCCATTCAAACTCCAGATTTTAACATCCGAGTAAGGTACACATTATCCTTGATAGGATCAGGGCCAATGTTTCGAGCATAGTTCTAAATTAGCCACCCTCAATTTTAGTCAAGGTGCACATTGTCACTAAGGACCAGGGCAAAAATAAAATTTTCTTTCCCACACAATGTAGCAATTCACTCTTAGCTATATCAACCAACATTTTCCAACCCTTCTTCTTAACATAGTGCATTAAGGATTTTCATAGGATCAAAAGACTTGGTATCAAACAACGGGTTTCGGCTTATCATGTGGTTTATCAATAAACAAGGCTAAAGGCTCAATGGGGCTCACTAGGGATAAATTCAATGGTAGGCATACAATTAGAGTTAAGCTTTGACTATTTCAAAGAAACGCCTCAATCACATTCCCTAAGTCATACAAGCTACTAATTCAACACACACAAGGTAAGTTCTAGATATCAAGTTAAGAAAGAACCAATCAATTCTCACCACACATGGCATTATGACACATATAAGGATATATCAACTAACATGCTCATACAAGTTACATTACGGTATTACTACACAATTAAGCCCATTTTCATTTTATTTCGAGTCAAACTTAAGAACAGATGCTAATTACAAGGTCAATCATCTATTGCATTTTCCCAAGTATAACTACCCATTGCGTTTGGCTAACTTAATCGGAAATAGCTTCAAAAGACCAAGGTTGGTGTTTCAATCCTACTCCTCTACGTGACTAATTTTCCCTTAAGATGGTCGTCATCCATCCATCATTGGGAACTATCACTCCTAAGACAACTCTAAGACTCAATAAAGCAATAAACTAATCCTATACGGTTCAAAGGGACAATCCTCAGTAGAATTACCGAAAACAAACTCTGAGGAACACAAAAGAAAAAATTAAACTAGAAACTAACAACTAGACTCGATAAAGCAGTAAACAACTATATACAACAGAGAATATTACCCCACTCCACACTTTAAGGATAAGCACTGTCCTCAGTGCACAATTAAAGCAAAGTATAAAGTTAGAAATACTCCCTGGGGCCTCTAGGCCTCGTTGTCACCACCGTCGAACACCATTAAGGCATTCGCCTCGCCATCTACAGTAGCACCCTCCTCATCATCATCCATCGCCTGATCAGCAGTAGCCTCATCATCATCCAAAGGCTCCAAAAAAGTGGGACCAAACTTGCACAGAAAGGTTGCACTGTCGATCAAAGGATAATGATCAGCCAAGGTCTCCATCTTATCGTCAGTGACCGGATGACCTCCAATCGATAACTGCAACTCAGCCATACCAAACATCCTTGCCATGACGCTATTGTCATGAGCTTGCCTCTACTGGGCAGACAAAACCGATCCATGGGGTGTGTCTAATGCCTTCGTTCGAGTCACATCAACCAACTTACCCGTCAGATTCGGGTGATAAGCAACAGTCATGTCTACCGTTTTCTCTTCAATACCCTCACTCCTCAGAAAATGGGTGATCAATCCCCCGTAACAGAACCTCCACCTCATATTATTCCTAAATTTCATCATACTCTGCCTCAGGATAGCCCTCACATTAATGGGCATGCCCTTCATCAGCATATATACTAATACCACCATATCTCTTGTCACATCAGTCAGATGTTTAGCAGGAAGCAACACACTACACACTATCTTTAGCCATACCCTATCCACCTGATTAAAGCTAGCAAAATGAAGGGTATTATGCCTCCTAGTGCCCTTACTCCGCTCCCACCTAGCATTCGAATCAACCCCACACAAGGTATGTCGGATATCCCTATAAGGAGGTTAACCCTTCAAGTCATTAAACACATTAGGGTCACAATTCGGGGTTCCTAAAAACTCATTCAGAATTCGGGTAGAAAACTTGACATCTTTCCCCCTAATAGGCACAATATTATATTTTATTTCAGTTAGCCAATTACCATAAAATTCTCTTACTAGTGTGAAATTGTCATCCCCCGGATTTTCAAATATAAACCTCAAACCCAACTCATTAACAGTCCAATATATATCAGGAAATTGCAACTCTAACCGTACCTCATTCACAAATTCGTCGCCCATATACTTCGCCTCTCTTTGGCATTCGAACCATTCCCACCCATACCTTTTCACAGCCTTTTTACCAAATTTTTGCACCAGTTCCCGGCCACTAGAGGACCCGAAAGCTTCTCCTTTTCTACTCTGCTTGGAACCCACCACGTTCTTTGCCTTAGGAGCCATGACCACCTGATAAGAAAGAAAAGAGAAAAAAGAACAAAGAACAAAAACAAGAAAAAATAGAAGAAAATAAGGTGGGGGGGGTTGGGTCAAGGTGGGAGAAGAGAAAAAAATTTGAGAAAGGTAGATTTGGAGTGAGAAAGAAGTGGGTGGAGTGGGTGTTTGGTTTTATAAGTGGAGGAAGGAAAGGGAAAGGCTTTTTTTATAAGTTTAATGGAGAAACTTGAAGTTTCAATGGAGGAAGGAGAATAGGTTAGGGAAGAAGAAGAGTTGGGAAAGAGAGAATATGGAGAGAAATTGGGTTTGAAAACGTGGGATTAGGGGAAGAGTGTGGAGTTTGGGAGGTTTTATTAGGAGTGGGTCGGGTGAAATCCGGGTAAAAACCCGAATTTTAAAAATCTAGGCAGGGACGCGATGGATGGGGTGATGCGCCTCTCAACGCGCCTGAGAAGTGCCCCAGTTAGTTGGGCCTTGGAGCGACGCGCCTCTCAGCGCATCTGAGACTCTCCTCTTACGTACGAGACCAGGTGCGGCGCGCCAACCAGTGCGCCTGGCTCAATTTTTGTTTGCTATTACATACTAAGTTAGAAATAATAAAAGAAAATCGTATCTAGCTATAACTAACCTAAATTCTAAGAATTGAAAGTACGCTAAAACAAAAAATTTCAAGAATTTAAAGACGAACTACCTATCGAATACATATTGTTCATGTGTTGCCTCCCATGTAGCGCTTGATTTAACGTCGCGACACGACGCAACTTGGATCATTCATCATTTAGTATAAGAGCTTCCCAATCACGATCCGAATCCTTACCGAAATAGTGTTCACCCTTTGCCCATTGACCAAGAACGTAAGGCCAGCTTATCTTTAAGTTCAACAGCCCCATGTTGTGTCATTCTGACCACTTTTAAAGGACCACTCCGCTTCGACCTTAATTTTCGGGGGAATAACCTTAGTCTAGAGTTAAAGAGTAGTACCTTATCTCCCGAATTGAAAGTACGAGCTACTATGTACTTGTCATGCCACCTTTTCGTCTTTTCTTTGTAAAGCTTGGCATTCTCATATGCGTGGAGCCTAAACTCCTCAAGTTCATGTAGCTGATTCACTCTCTTTTTACCGGCTAGCTCGGGGTCTAAGTTCAGCTTCTTGATTGCCCAATATGCTTGATGTTCTAATTTAGCCGGAAGGTGACATGCTTTCCCAAATACTATGTGATATGGAGAAGTCCCTATTGGTGTCTTATATGCACTCTTATATGCCCACAACGCATCATCTAATTTCTCAGACCAATCTTTCCTTTGCGCATTCACCGTTTTCTGCAAAATTTGCTTCACCTCTCTATTTGAAACCTCCACTTGGCCACTCGTTTGAGGATGGTAAGCTGTAGCAACCTTATGACGAATACCATACTTAGTAAGAAGATTCTTAACTAAATGGTTAATTAAATGCTTACCTCCATCACTTATAATTGCCTTGGATTGCCAAAGCGAGTGAAGATGTGCTTCTTTATGAACTTTATCACCACCCTTGAATCATTGGAAGGAAGAGCGACCGCCTCAACCCATTTACTAACATAATCCACAGCCACAAGAATTTATTGGTTTCCACTAGATGGTGGGAATAGACCCATGAAGTCAATACCCCACACATCAAACATTTCCACCTCCAAAATGTTACTTAGAGGCATCTTATGTCTTCTTGAAATAGTACCCAACCTTTGGCATTTAGCACAACCCTTCACAAAATCAATCGAATCTTTAAATAATGAGGGCCAAAAGAAACCATATTGTAGTACCTTATGAGCAGTTCGCTCTCCTCCATGGTGACCACCATATGGGCTAGCATGACAACTTTCGAGCACTTTGTGAACCTCAGATTCTGGAATGCACCTTCTCACTACCCGGTCTACACCTTGCTTGAACAAGAATGGCTCATCCTAGATATAGAACTTGGCATCATGATTGAGCTTTTTCTTTTGTTGGGTGGTTGCACTCGGAAGATAATCGCCACTTACTATCAAATTCACAATGTCTGCATACCATGGCACTTGAGAGATATCTAATGCCATCAATTGTTCATCCGAAAACTCTTCCCGGATTTGCTCACCTTCATTTACATGTGAAAAATCCTCCAACCTAGATAAGTGATCAGCTATTTGATTCTCAGTACCTTTCCTATCTTTGATCTCAAGGTCAAATTCTTGGAGAAGCAATATCCAACGAATTAACCTTGGTTTAGCATCATTCTTATTGAATAAGTACCTAATAGCTGCATGGTCAGTAAAAAAAATCACTTTAGTACCTACCAAATACGATCTGAACTTGTCGAAGGCGAACACTAGAGCCAGCATCTCCTTCTCAGTCACTGTGTAATTAGCTTGTGTAGAGTCAAGGGTCTTGCTTGCATATTAGATCGAGTGGAACACTTTATTCTTTCTTTGTCCCAACACTACACCCACTGCTACGTCGCTTGCATCACACATGAGTTCAAATGGCAATCCCAATTAGAGCAATTAAGATGGAGCCTCAATTAAGTTCCTCTTCAACATCTCAAAAGCTTTCAAGCACATCTCATCAAAGTCAAACTTCACCTCCTTCTCCAAGAGACTGCACATAGGTCTGTCAATCTTGGAAAAATCCTTGATGAATCGCCTGTAAAAACCTGCATGACCAAGAAAACTACGCACATCTTTTACAGAAATGGGAGGGGGCAATTTCTCAATAACTTCTACCTTAGCCTTATAAACCTCCAAACCAGATTTAGACACCTTGTGTCCTAATACTATTCCATCTCTTACAAAAAAAATGACACTTTTCCCAGTTTAGAACTAAGTTAGTGTCTTCACATCTAGCAAGTACTTTATCAAGATTTCGGAGACATACCTCAAAAAACTTCCCAAAGATGGAAAAATAATCCATGAACACCTCAACAAAGTCTTCCACCATATCATGAAAAATGGCCATCATACACCTTTGAAAAGTCGCCAGTACATTGCAAAGTCCGAATGGAATGCACTTGAAAGCATATGTGCCATAAGGACAAGTGAACGTGGTCTTTTCCTGATCCTCGGGTGCAATCAAGATTTGGTTGTAACTTGAATATCCATCTAAGAAAAAATAGTACTCCTGCCCTGCTAGTCGGTCAAGCAT